TTTGATATTAGTAGTAACACTTGACTTACGTAGTAACGACCATTACTTTTACTATCTGTTATGCAAAGTTTTTCATATATCGCAACGATAAAAATCATCAATCGAATTTTTTGATTAAAATATTTTTAAAAATTTGATATTAGTAGTAACATTTGACTTGCGTAGTAACGACCATTACTTTTCGGTCCTCCTAATGATGCATATACATATACATATATACATACTTCATTTTTTTTTTATTTCTTCTTAAATTAATTATTTATAGCTCGTATGTATTATTGTGTATGTATGTATGCATGTATGTATGTATGTATGTATGAGATGTACGTGCGAGAATAAACAAAACGAAAATAATACACACATATCACGAGGTACGTTAAAAAATAATAATACACATATACACATACATATACATACAAAGAATAAAATAAGAAAGGACAATTAATTATTATTCGAAAGGCTGGTTCTCTCTCATCTGATTTATACATAAATGTATATGTATATATATATAAATATATATATATACAAATACTTAAAAAACAAAATATGTATCCTATCCGATTTCATCGGTTCAATTCACACCCCCCCACCCCACCACCACCCCTTTACAATTAATATGTAATATATAGAAATTTATCGAGTCATCACGAATGAAATAACGTTGATCATCGTTTTATTAAAAATTAATTTGTTCTTTTAAAAACATTATACGTGTTTGTAATAATTATTATTTACACGGTTTCAATTTATACAATATTTCTATATTGAGATCTCTAGCATTTGAATACGCTATCTGGTGGCTAAATTCAAAATTACAGTAGATAGGGTCGAAATGCTACGCCACGTGGTGGGATCTCTAGCACTTGAATACGCTATCTGGTGGTTAAATTCAAAATTAGAGTTGATAAGTCGAATTTCTACGCCACGCCCCTTGTCAGAGATCCCAATATTATGTATATATATATATGTATACAAATTTTGATTTTATTTCTATTTTTTTTATTTCTTTTTTTCTCATTAAATCTTCTTTTATTTATTTTTTTTTAATGCACAAAGTTGCTAAAAAAAAGAACAAAACAAAAAAAAAAATAAATTGTAAAAACAATCGATGTCTTCGAAAAGTTTTATTCGCCATATT